GGAGGAGGAGGAGATTGGATTTATACCCCGCCCTTCACTTGGAGTCTCAGAGCAGCTTACAAACTCCTTTCCCTTCTCCTCCCCACAACAGACACCCTGTGAGGTGGGTGGGGCTGAGAGAACTCTGACACAAACTGCTCTTTTTCAAGGACAGCTGTGCCAGAGCTTGTGACTGACCCAAGGTAACATCAGCAGGTGCAAGTGGAGGAGTGGGGAATCAAACCCGGTTCTCCCACATTAGAGTCTGCACACTTAACCACTACACCAAACTGGCTCCAAGGATGCTTCCAGAAAGTGTGTGTGTGGGGGAACCTTCATAGGTACTAGTACCAGGGGTCATTTCCTGCAGGAGCGCACAGGAGCGGAGCTCCGGCAGTAAAGAGCCCAGGGGGTGGGCACATGCAACAAGCCCCACCCACTGCTCCCGACAGCCCTCAGTTAGAGCAAGAAGCAGCCAGGTAAGCTGCAGAGCCCCCCGGTGCAAAACAGTCCAGTGGCACCTTTAAGACCAAATTTTATTCAGATCCAAGCTCTCCCTCCTCTGCGAGGACAGATCTGCACGATCCCCCCCCCCAATAGCTAGCCATCCAAAACAGTCCAGTTTAGCCTGAGCGGGTGTTGCCTTCTGACACACTTCCAGTGAGGTCAGGGGGTGTGGCATATGCAAACGAGTTATGCTAATTCGTTATGCTAATGAGCTCCTGCACCTCTTTCTCTACGAAATGACCCCTGATACAGAGTTTATTAGAAATGCAGTTCGTTGGTAGGCCAGAGGGGGCGATAGAGCACTCACTCTCTGTAAAGATCATGTTCAAAATGGCAGACCAAGGAGATTACTGTTATGTCCCTGAGGGCATGTGGTTCGCACTACTTTGTGAGAGACCGGACACATAACAATAGGCACCAAGTAATAACCAGCATGACAGGTATCCCTGGTCCAACATTTTTGGAGAAAGCAAAGAACATCTTGTCCTGGGTTGCCTGAACATATGAAGCAAATGAAGCATTTGGTCCCCTTTTGGTGGCACAGTTTGGCTATTGTATAACTTCATCAAAGTGGGTGGCATTGAAATACCTATATAATATTAATCCATTTGGAAAACACTCTGTCCACATGCCATAGTAACACTCCTCAGATATGATAAAGTTATACGAAACGAGATATAAAACGCATGGTCGGTTGGTGTTGATGGCGTTTGAATTGCTTCCAGTAAACTGAATATTGGGAAAAGAAATATCTAGTCCTTGGAGACTTTTTTTGGCATAATACATCACGGTTGTTTGCCTCGTCTCAACTTCCATCCCGGTGATCTCTCTCTTTGGTTTGCACGCTCCAGGTGGGGCCCGGAGAACTCCTGGAATCGAAACTGATCTCCAGTCCTGGAGAAAATGGCTGCTTTGGAGGTTGGACTCAACGGCATTGTAGCCCACTGAGGTCTGGCCCCTCTCCAAACCCCGCCCTCCCCGGGCTCCACCACCCAAATCTCCAGCCAACATAGGGTGGGGATCTGGTGTTTACATGCACACCAATGGGCAGAAGCATGGAGTGAGCATGACAGCAGGGAGGGAGGGAGGGAGGACCTTTGCAAATGCATTCTGCGTCTCCTCTTGCCATTGGATAAACAAAACGACCCTCAAAACATATAAGCTTCAGGAACGGGGCTTCTAGAGCAACGGCGTTTACTTCAAGACAGCTCTCTTCCCGTGTGTTTATAGAAACTGGGTGTGGCAATTGCACCAAAGGTTCCTGCAGCTGATGTGCATTGGTAGACCACAGCAGGGTAGGTGATGTATCCCAAAACTTTTGTGAGATGCCCAGGGAACCAGGAAGGGAGATGTTAGCTACTCCAACTGCTTGGAGAGGTGGTCGTGGGGTAGGGTTGCCAAGTCCAAAATTACTTACCGCGGGGGAGTCCCATGCCGTCCTGGGAGCCTGTGTGCGTGCGCAAAGCGCACTGCCGCAATGACGCCACCCGGAAGTGACATCATTGCGTCGGCATGTTGGGGGCGGGGCCACTAGGATTTGAGGGAAAACCATAGAGTTTTCCCTCAAATCATAGAGCATCCCGCCCCCAACGTGGCCAGCATGATGATGGATCGAGTGGGGCCCAATGACCCCACGGCCGGTGAAGGGGCCGGGCCACCCATTGCCTTGGAGCACACTGAGACCCGGCCCCCTGCTTTCTCCCCCCTCCCCAGACCTGAGGTCACGGGGCGACGGAACACCCTGCAACTGGCTGCCTGCCCTGCTGCAACCGGTGGCCTCCAGGCCGCTTCCATGGCTCTCCACCCCAACGGTGCACCAGCCCCCATCCACTTGCAGGCTAACCGCCGACGTGCATTGGGCCTCGGCGGCCTACGACGCCCACGGCGGCAGCAGGACTGGCCTCGTCCCAACAACCCCACGCCCACTGAATGGGCCGGGCCACCCGTCACCTTGGAGCACAGTGAGGACTGGTCCCCCACTTTCTCCCCCATCCACAGACCCCTGGCTCCTTGTCCAGGCGGGTGGTGGTGGCCTGAAGGTTGCCTCCACCACCCTCCGCCCCGGCAGCGCACCGGTCCCGGTCCGGTCACAGGGCGGGCGGCTACCTGCAGTCGGCTGGGGCTGATGACAACCGCCATGGCGGTCGCAGGAATGGCCTCAGCCTCCTAAGCCTCCAGCTGCCGAAGCGTCCATCCCATTTGGCGGCTCCCTGCATGCTGAGGGCGAGAGGCTCATCACCGGCTCATTGGGTGAGACTGAGCCAACGCAGCAAGGCAACTCAGCCAGTGGCCAGGGACCCATTTCTGAGTGGCAGTTCAGGCAACCAACTGATTTTGGCGCGCATCGAATCTTGCCACCCCAAACAGGATTATAATATAGGAGCGATATCTCCGGTACCTGGCATTACATTTTATGGCACACATGGCCAGGCCAAAGTTGACATTTCTGTCAGATCCGGCCCTCATAACAAATGAGTTTGACACTTCTGGGCTAGAGACTTACTTTTATTTTTAATGAAAGCTGGGAATTCAGAGAACCTGCTTAAACTATCATGATAACGCCACAGGGGTATATTGATATTTTGAAAGAAAAAAAAATGTGGGGTGCTCGGATACCACCAGTAACGATAACAACGGCAGCACCCTTGCTTGAAAATCCCCAGTAATGATACCAATGGCAGTACCCTCTCTTGAAAATAGCTCCACAATTGTAAAAGTGCACAGGGAGGGCAGACAAGCAGAGGAACCATGTCCGAACCTATTTCAATGCTTGTGGATTGACTCCCCCCAAAAAATCAGGAGTAACTCGAGCATACAGAAAAAGTCTAGGTCAGCTGATGATAACGTTGAGTCTCGTACTTGGGAGGCTCGGGAAAAGGTTCCCCATAAGCCCATTGAACTTGGATGCCAGCTGAGACCTGGGTCCAATTTCTAGTGGGGTCCACATACAGCAGGGTCTCCTTGCTACTAGAACCTTCCCAAATGTACCCTTCTGATAGGGGACAGTCAGGAGCCTTTGTGATGACATAAGCGGCAACACACCCCTAATGTAGGCAGTCCTCCAAGAGCTTACAGTAGCCCCTGTAAGAAGAGCTCTGTAAGCTCTTAGAGGATTGGCTACATTAGGAGTGTGTGGCCTAATATGCAAAGGAGTTCCTGCTACAAAAAGAGCCCTGCGAACAAGCCTAAAGGTTTCCTTTGATCCATGCCCTCGGGAGACAAAGGAAATGAATTTGGAAACCACAGTTCCCACTGTGCTTCCTAGCATCAAACATAAGTCTTAGGATTGAGCCCTTCTGTAGCTATGCAAAGGTAAAAGTAAAGGTTTCCCTTGCTTGAAAGCTAGTCGAGTCCGACTCTAGGGGGCAGTGCTCATCTCCGTTTCCAAGCCGAAGAGCCAATGCTGTCCGAAGACATTTTCACCGTCATGTGGCCAGCATGACTAAACGCCGAGGCACACGGAACGCTGTTACCTTCCCACCAAAGCAGTACCTATTTATCTACTTGCAGTTTCTTGCTTTCAGACTGCTAGGTTGGCAGGAGCTGGGGCCAGAGACGGGAGCTCACTCCATCACACGGCACTCGGGTCTCGAACTGCTGAACTACCGACCTTCCAGTCTGCAGCTCAGCGTCTTAACCTCTAAGCCACCGCGGCCCCTCTGTTGCTATGAGAACCCCCCAAAACTGCCTCCCTCTATTGTGACCTAAAGGAGAGGTCTGGGGTGAGAGGTGCTACCCCAAGCCTAATTGTTACAGGCCCCCAAGGTTAAATAGCACGAGCTTTGAGGAAACTCACAGTGTTTTTTTTTAGCAGAAAACACCTATTGCTGAGCAAAGAATTTTTAACGTATCCAGAAAACCAACTAAAAGTATTACTGTGAGGAGACCACACAAAAGCAAGACAAAAAGCACGAGAGCTGATCTTAGACATTTATTGATACGAAGCTGAGCGTCTAACAGCATATCCTGTCCCAGAAGTTAACTGAAAAAATCCACCTTTCAAGCAGACCGGTTTCCATTATCGTCACACCCTCCCCTCCAACTGGGAATCGGCCGTCCAGCCATTTCTTTTGTTCTGAGGTTTTCAATACAGGAAATAAATCCCCCACACACTTCCTAAACTGTTATTCACGTACAAACCTATTTCTTTTTAATCTCTAGGAAAATACTTTGAAAATAAATATCTAGGATTCTTCAGAGCTTTTCAGTTTAAAAAAATACGGCATATTGTTGACTGTTTGCTTTTCTGTTTAAATTTTTGAGAGAAAATGTAAACAGGCGGGTTGTGGGTTTTTATAAATTTTGGTTGATCGAGAGACTTCTTTGCATTTCTCGAAACAAGCTACTGTTCAGATAAGCACACTGTTATTCCGCTAAATAAAACTGAAAGACAAAGCATTTTCTGCACATTTTCACAGACAAGAACACCTTAGAATTTCTGCCCGTAAGATCGCAAAAGGCCCATGTCTAATATTTCTGCCATTGGGTTCATTCCTCAGACCTGAATGACAGTATCTGAGCTAAACAATACGGCCCTAATAGGAAATACACTTCAGCAGAGAGGTATTTTCATCTTCTGTAACGTCTGCAAAAATTCATAGTGCAAGAAGACGCTGACGTACAATCACGTACCTTAACTTATATACAGAATAAACCAGTGAGGTGTTAGGAAATATAATAGCTGTTATGTAAGGAAAGTTCCACAAGAGACAGCCATTGAGAAACATCCAACCTTCTAGAGGAGTAGTACGCATGGCACGGCGTGGCAGCTGGGATTTAAAATTGCTAGGACAATTGAGCCATGCCGTTTTTGAGACGAAAGTTGACACCTAAAGTTTGTGAGACCACCTGTCTCTCTCACATAGACTTAAAAAAAATCAAGGCCACAGGAAGCCTAGATCACATTTTGCTTGGTATCTGGGAGAGGGACTTTTGGAAACAACGCCCACCATATCCCAGTAAAAGAAGCATATCATTATTTTTTAAAAGATGGGCAGTAAGTGAACTGCCACAGCCTATTAATAATGTTCATTTATTCATTTTAACTCCATGTCTGTTTGCACAGGATGTGGAAGTACAAGGTATAAGTGGAAGTATTGTTATATTAAAAAAGCAAGAGTAGGACATTGGCTGGTCTCTGTCCAGCTGGGAATCTGCTCTACTGGAGGTGGGGTGGCACATATTTTGTGGCTTGCCTTTGCTTGAATACAGCCATTGGATTATAGCTCTTGTCACCCAGGCAATGCCAGAACTTTCAAGGCCATATCCACACCATCATGAGACTGACAGCCAAATGGCTTTTTTTGCGTGCCGAACCCCCAAATTTCGGCAATAATTACTCCTGCAACCACAAGAGCACTTTGCCAGCCGCTCTTGTTGTTGGCGGGGACCGATGCTGATTATATCTGTGAGTGCCCACGTGAAGGGAGAAGTCGGGACCGCTCACGTGGACAGAACACATTGCTGAACTAGACCAAAGCCATAGAGAATCACAGGGGTGTGGCCTACCACACACAAGACGGGCACAATCTGGAGGAGGTTTGCAGAGGCAACGGCAGCAGTAAAACGCTAAACACTTTTGACTTTGGTAAGGTTGAGTTACCAGATTAAGAAACCTTTTAAAAACATTTAAATGAGTCTTTAGCCATGTTGGTTGGTAAGAGATCAGGACTTCCGCAGAAGTAATGACATACTTTCCTCTGCAAACCTCACGAGCAAATTCATCTATGGTATTTGCCATCTCAGGGTATTTTCCCGCATTCTCATTTTCCTCACGTCTATATTCCTGTTTCTTCAGGGGTTTTTTTTTTCCTGTTCTGCATGTAGTTTGCTCCCTCTAGTGGTCGATTCGATATTACACCAGTGTATGTTTGGCATATCTCCATGCAGAACAGGAAAAAACCCCAAAGAAACAGGAATACAAGCTTGAAATATTAGAATGCGGAAAAGCCCTTCGGTCCTTTTCATACAGACTCTTTAAACTCGGTTTGGCTTCAGAAAGCAAACAGATTTTTTTTAAAAATGTTTCACGCACCTAAAGGATAAAGAGCAATAACAACAACAACGAAAAACCCAGGTGTAGGAAAACCCAGATTAAGGCTTCATTAACTGTGAGAGGGCACCATTTTTTATTTAAGGAATGTGAAACCTTTTAAAAAGAAATCTGTTTGACTTCAGAAGCCAAAGTGGATTGAAGAGCACATATGAAAGGGACCTAATTTGACTGCCCAAACTAGTAGTAAACGGCCCATCCCTCTAACAGATGGTATTTTAGGAGAAAAGCCACACTGGTAAGCGTTCTCTTCATTTATCTATTTTTAAAACAGGCAAATTTGGTTTGTGCTTCTTGAATGGTAAGGCATCCACTTGAAAAATATGTTAAAACAAAAGTAAGGCTTTATTAGAAGACGATCACTATTTTAGTAAGGGACAA